TTGATTGAAGAGAGCACACTTAACCACGAAACTCATCGAATCAATATCATGCGTGGACAACCAATGACCAACACTAATTGTACTCTTTACCAAAGGTCATTTTACCATAAAAGAGATGGATAATTAAATTTTAGACCGAAACATTAATGTAATTTTTTGATTTTTTCGAATTATCTGGATAGATAATGTATGATTTTCGAGGTTTTGTCCATGAATAGGGTTCAATCATTGGGAATTCCAACAAAATAGGAGTACTCAAACAAAAAAGATGACTTTTTGATTGGGAATGAGTACATCGCTGATAATGAGATACTTTTGATCGAAAATTAGATGTTTTCAACTCAAAATCGGTAATTTTCAATTGAAATTAGTCATTTTCAACTGAAAATCTATAATTTTTCGAAAATTTGTGATTTAAGAATTGAAATTCTTTGATTTTCGGTAATTGTGATTTTGTGATCGCCGGCGCCTTCATTATGATGAAAAATAATTATTTCTATCATTGTGTCCAACAGCCAAATTTTATCGTGTTTAACTAAAGTCATCGTTAATTTATTCCAGGTGCTTTGTTTTCCACGTGCATTTTAATTGAAACAACAAAATCCACGTCATTCACTGACACAACTATTTGCCCACAGCAAAATTCATTGATTCAACAAAAAGACTTTGACTTCACCCCATTATTTTTCTCCAAATATTTGTTTGGCTTATATGTCGCTTGGCCTCTCTCATTCCACTATTTTAAAATTTGTGTAATTTTTTCCGGGATCCGTTTAATTAATCTGAACCAAAAAAAATGAAACGTGTCCTTTGAGTGAATGTTCCTCATGGAGTGGTTTCCTACCACTTATAATCACATACACAAATAATTGATATTGAAACATTTTTTTTTCTAAATAATAATGAATGATTGAAAATAGTCAACAAAAATCTATTTTACTGGCGCTGAATCAGCGTTACGTTTGTTTTAATATGTAAACACGACATAATGAAAAAGAAATATTAAATTGAATGGGCCACGTAATTTACCGGACATTACGATTTGAATTGCATGGTGCGTATTTAAATGTTTTCTTTACTGTGGTTGTCCTTTGTCTGGTTTTTTTTTGTGTGACATGACAATAGTAATTAAGTGTTCGCATCGTGCAAGGGTTTAAATGGTGCCACGAAAAAAAAAAATGTTAAAAGACAAAGAGAAGCGGAAAATTATTCAAAATCATGGGAAAATATGTATAAATCGATGATGTGTCTTTGAACACGGGCTATTCAGGTTTAACTCATTCCAATCATCGTTTCGATTGAAGTAATCGACATTATTCAAAATAGATTTAAATGTTTTGTTTGATTGTTTTTTTCTTCAGAGGCTCAATGCACTTATTACCACGGTTCATTATCAAAAATGGAACACGTCATCGAAAGAGCCACGTCAGCGGAAGAACAATTCGGATGTTTGAATCGAAAATTCTCGCTTCAAACTGAACATTTCTTGTGTTGCTTTCATTTAATTCGTGTACGGTGCGTGCTATCGATTAGAGACATAGACTCAATTAAAATGATACATATAATTTTGAGCGCCTTGCTTTCGTTTGTTGAAAACATCTTTATTCGGATTTTCTCTGTTCGGTACGATGTTAAAAAAAGAAAATTATTATTATCTTCAAATGGGCCTAATTTTTGTCTGTGCTTCAAATTGGCACCCATTTTTCAAAACACACAACAATATTGTGGCCTTCTCTCTCTCTCTCTCTTTCGTCTTTTCTTCTTTCAGTAAATCATTCTTTCTTCTGCAGTTTCTTTTTCGTCATTCGTTGATCTAGGATATATTGTGTCTATCGAACAGTAGGCATGTTTGAGATTGTGTATCTAGCCCAAATACTCGGTCGGGTGTATTGAAATTAAAACCGTATCTTTTGCGCTGCTCTTGTACGGTATGATGGGATTTTAAAGTCGAGTGCTCATTCACAATGTCTTAATATGGGTCGTAAGAACATGAACATTTTACCTTTTTTAGTCGCATATAAAGAAAAAATGTTTTTATTAATCCTTCGGGCCCTTGAATTGCTGTCTTTTGTTCGGTCATAACAAAACTGAATCTAATACCAATTTTGGGCTAATCAGCAGAAGCCAAGTTATTGCACATATAGAGAGTAATCGAAAACGAGAGAGAGAGAGAGAGAGAGAAAGAGAAAGACACCAAATTGAGGCGTAATTCATACAAAAAAGCCGATGCACCGTAAATATTTGTTAATCGCACACGGGAGAGAATAAAAAAAACTCACACAAAGAAAGCGAAAAGATAGCAGACACCGAAAATAGCAATAGATTTTTATCACAAAACCAATTTTTGTTCCTTTGTCGATGTTGACCGAAAAGAACTCTCGAGATTTATGAAGATGTTTTTTTGTATGTTTGACGTCTTTTTCATGCGTGTGTGTTTAGCTGACGACTTTTTTTGCGTTTTCAGACAGATGATCTAGTTTTCTTTTGTGTCGTTTGTCGAGTGTTTTTCAAGGGGGTAATCTCGGCAGAAAGAGAAAGAGAGAGAGAAAAGGAGAGAGCTACCTCTTCTGATCGCTATCTAACACACAAAACGATCAATTTCATTGTGTCCATGTCAAAAATCGGTGTAATCACCACAGAAAGAATCGAATGATATGATCTCGTAAAGATAAAAAATTCGATTTAAAAAATAGAGAAAATTATTGCCGTTTTTCGATTGAAGGCAAAAAAGCACCACTGGCGCTAATTTTACTAAAAACAAACTATCTCGAAGATATGATACGAAAAAAAGTGCAGTCATAAACAAAATATCATCAAGATCGGTGTGTTCTGTCTCACGCCCAAAACACACACTCTCTTTCTGAATCCTCTACGGTCCCGCACTCTCATTCACCTCATTTGCCGTCTAATTTATTAATATTAATTTTTTGATTCTGGTTTCTGTTCTGTTTTCGATTCGTTTCACACGGACACCAAACGTTTTGTTCGCACCGAACATTAAAATCATGTTTTGTTTTAATCGATCCAAAAGAAGAAGAATAAAAAAAAATCTCGGTTGGTTTTTATATTGGTAATATATCATTGATGTCAACTGTTGTTAGATGGTTTTAATGGGTTTCTATATAAAAAAAATATATATCGAGACAGAGAGAGCTTTTAATAACCGAATATCATTTTGGGGGCTTTCACTGGCGCGCATTCCCAGTGTCTGAGAGGTCGAGAGATTTTGATCGATATTTATATTATTATTGATGCCGAAATATAGATAACCGCCGGTATTTTCTTCATGTCAGTGAAAAACATGCTGGTTTTATAATATGCGATGAGACGCCACTTAAACATGCACACACCTAATTTGAATTGAAAGTATTTTTTTTTGTGTACGGGATTTGAACTTTGATGGAAAACGGTCAGCGGAAAATTATTTCGGGAGAATTGTATGAAATTGGGCTTTGAAATCGAAAACCATGGGTCATATGTTTGATTGAATTAATTTTGAATTAAATGGCCGGATTTGGCGAGGGAGAAGAGATGAGCCGGACATGCCGAGTGAGAAACGACCAGCAAGAAAAGACAAACGGAGACCATCATTTGAACATTGAAGATGGCGCAAGAAAAGATAGTAAGAGAAGATCAAGTCGGCCAGCAGAATGAATGAGAGATAAAAAAAACGTCGACCGAGAGTGAAAAAGATAAGAAAATTGACTGCGATCGAAAACGATGCATGCAGATATCAGCGTTCAATATCCACACGCAATGTATGCGTGTGCAAGCAAGAAAACGAGCGAGTATATGGTTTGTGAACGCAACGTCGCTCATTTGAGTGACATCTAATTTAATGCAAATTCATGCTTTTGTCACCGAACTGGAAGAACAAAGTAAAATTCACCGAATGCGACACAGAAAACCAAGCGTACGGTGTGCGGGGATTATATTTTTGACGCCATGACATCGACATCTGAACTCTCTTTCGGTTTGTTGTTGTTTTTTTTTTGGTTTCTGTTGTTCTTCGGCGCTTTGCATCAAACAAAAATTGCACGGTGCTGCAGTGCTCTCTCTCTCTCTCTCCTCTCTGTCTCTCTCAAGTGGTTTCTCCTTTCATGCAAAAGACGCAGCAAAAAAAGCGAGAAACACGAGGCGAAAATCGACTAATTTCTACAATGAACGTGACACGTCTTCGATATTATATTTATTTCATTTAATCCGAATGAGATTTTGTAGAGCGTTAAAAGTAAAATTATGTTTTTCTGTCGATTTATTTCGAGAAACCATCGATAAAAAAAACACAACTCCTTTTTTTGTGCGCATTTATCTTCGGGATGCGCAAATCCCGAAAATATCGGCAAAGAAGAGACAAAATAAGAAAAAAATACACCGATGCCGATAGTGATTAACACATCGACCGACAAATGGATTTTGACAGCATGCATTTCCATTACATCAATGCTTAAAATCTTTCGTCGCTTATTTTTTCAATTCATAAAATAAACTAGAAAACCGGCACTCGAAACGAAAAAAAAATAATACAAAGACAACTGGAAGGCATGCTGCTTAAAATTTGATCCGCGATGACGATATATATATTTAAAAAAAAGAAACCTGTTTCGCAATATGCGCTGTCTCAACTTCAATCAAAACATTTATGTGATGTGATCGTGGGATCGTTTTGAATGTCGCTTGTTTTTTATCAATACAGAGGGAAACAAAGACCGCCGTTGGTTATTTAAACTACTTCTCGTTTCATTCAAATAGATAGCATTAGACTCTAAATGTGAAGCAGGTGGATCCACTAAGCGGTTAGCAGAAAGTTCTAAGCCTTTTGATACGCAAAAAATTTTCTTTGGTTACCTCATTTTTCTTACATTTCTACAGGTTTGCCGATAAATTGACAATATATATTTGTTTTTTTTTTTTTTTTTTGGAAAAATAATAGTTTTGAATTTTGTTTTGTAAAAAAGAATAAATGAAAAAAATCTTGGGCCATACAAGATACAACGTACAGTACTTACAAATCCATGTTTGTCGCTTATATTGTTGGTTAGTTTGAGTTTATGAAACGATACGACTTTTTGCATCCATTGTTCACCCGTTGACGGACTATCCGGATGAATGTACATTCGTTTTGGCATCTCCGGATCAGCCTTACCCGCCACCATCCACCGACTGTAAAATGAAAAAACATTTAAACCGCACCAATTAGATCTGCTGAATTCCGTCAATTTTCTTAATTTTTTCAAGTAATTTCAATTAAATAAGACGTTTTAAGGTGCTTAGCGCAAAATCTAACCAAATTCGACATCATTTCACATAAAAATGCATGTAATTTCATCGAAATTTGTTTAATTTCATCAAAAATTCACTTAAAACTTCGAAAAATTACATGAAAAATGCGAAAACGTTTAAATCACATGAAAAGTGATGTGAAAAATTGCAAGTACAAATTTGTAATTTTTCAAATCACCGAGTGCATGTGTGCGAGTTCATGGAAAGTGAGTCATTTGTAAATAATTTTGTGTACCTATTGTGAAATTTATAGCGGTAATCGTCGGCTGCAACAATGTCTAATAATAAAATGTATTTTGCTTTTGCATCAAGACCGGACACACGGAACTTCATTTGTGGAAACATTTGTCTGGAAAGAGATAGAAAGAAAAAAAAATTGTCAAGTTTTGTAAAACAACGAAATAAAAATATTGTAAAAATAAACACAATTGATGTGGAATGTTTTCAAAGTGCAAGTAATCATTTGACAATTGACAGCATTGTTCTCGTAATGGTTTCATTGGCATGAATTATCTGCAATTACGGTTAATCCAGCAAAACGATTTTGGAGTGTGTACACGATAAAACAATAACAATATACATGGCAAAGGTAAAATCACGTACGGTAAAACAACAACAACACCGATTATCATTACAGTCTATCAAGCATATGCATCGCGCGCGCGCACGCATTCTAATTTTGGTCGAAAGAATGCCGCATTTTGCGTTTCAAACCATAAGCTGCAGTGGTGTCGTGAGTGATGAGATCATACAACATTTCGCTCTCAATAAAATAATTTGCAACTGGTTTTTTTTTTCATTCTCTATCTCACTCACGCGCTCTTGTCCTCACATTGTCTCTGTTGATCGTTTACTCGCTCGCCCGTTCTTACTTTGATATCAAACAAAAAAATTGCCCTTGTAAAAAGAGTGATATTCGAATAACACTTTTAGATCGTAGTGTGCGATGATATTTTCAAATGGGGTTTCCGCCATAAATCATATCTCACTCTCTCGCGCGTTCATAATTGTGTTGTCGCCACAATGCCAAATATAGACGAAAAATATGTATAGAGCAAAAAACAAACTTGACATGAACACGACATAAAACTGCCATAAAATCTTGTTTCCCTTTTGTACCGAATGGCCCATTGCATTTAAACACATGCGGTGTGGACAAAAACACTTCAACAAAAAAAAAAACAGAGTGTCAAAACAAGCCCGAGATTTATTTACATTATATGCTATTTTGTTCGCTCGAAAAATTGCATCTCGAGAACAATTGGCCGGGGACATCACTCACGACAACATTAGATAGATAAGATTTGACGGAACAGCCAAAAGCTACATCGCTCAACAAAGATTAACATCACAAACAATGCATACTCGCATTTCGATTCCCCGTGCTTTGTGCGTGTTCATTCAAAAGCTGAGCCGTTTGTTTCTCTATCAAGCTGAAAATTATTCATCACTATTTTTCGTGCACGTCGATTGGCAAGGCGTTAGACACAAAACACTCGAACAACACGCTAAAATCAACAAAGAGTGCGAAATGTATAATGTGAAATTTGTAAGATGCGCGCGTGAAAGAGAAAAACACCACACAGAGCAAGAGAGAAAGAGAGAGGGAGAAGGCGAGCGAGAGTGCAGCCGAGAATGAGAGCTGATGTTGGTGAAGCGGAAAAATAACACACATCCCAAACACATCAACAATAGAATCATTGCATAGATGCACCGAGAGAAAGAGCGCGCGAGAGAGGGAGAGAGTGTGAGCGGGAGATGCACGGCAACAGACACACAAAAGTGCAACAAGGCATTAACAAATAATCGCACCCGAACACAATGCCGATAATATACATATAATTTTTTCTTCTTAGCTTAGCTCTCTAACAAACACCTTTTCATTCAGCACGCCACTCTCATTCATTCGCAACTGACTACTCGATCTTTGTGTCTGTCTATCGCCGGCTGTCGAATTTTTTTTTCTTCGTTGTTGTTGCATTTTTACACCGATTTTCATGCGGTTTTTTTCTTCTTCTTCAGTGTGATTAACGCACGAAAGACGATTTCGAATGAATACAGTGGTTTTTGTCTACAAATTTCAATGGAACCATTTCAACTACAACGGATGAATTCATTTTTATAGAGAAAATTAGTTTTGATGAACAACATTTTATGCCACAACATTTTGAAAAGAAGATCTTTTATCGAAAAGTGATACAAAGGCCCATTTCGAATGAAAATCGCTTTAAGAGCAGGAATGTTCATATTTTCGAAATGTTGCAAAGTATAATAAAATTATATATAGAGAATTGCGACGAGTTATTCTAATTCAGTTTTGAGTAAAAGGACCGTCGTTCTATTGCCAGTTACCCTGGCGCTTTCAAAACATATCATCGATTGGTCATATATTATATAAAATTGGGCATGTAGTTAATTAGAACCACCTGTCTTATTTTTTGCTATCAACCAACATTAGACCGCAGCAAACAAATTTTGTACCTTTTTACGAAAGTTTTCGTGTTCTTTTTCCCGCACACAAGCCGTGTGTGGAATTTTGGCCGTTTGACATGTTTTATGTGGAGAAAAGCTTATTTTTTTTGCATCAATAAGTAAATGAGGTTTGTTTTTTTAGGCAACGAAAAACTCAATTATAACTTGGAATTATAATTTAGTTAAATTGGGCAATTTGGCTTTGGAAACAATGTAATGTGTTCTTTATAGTCGAGAAAGCGATGAAAAGAGAGAAAAAATGGTAGTCGAAGCCAATTAGTGATGTACGTATGTTGTTTTGTTTTTATTTGAAATAAAAAAAAATGAAGCCAAGGAGTATCTAATCAAGCCATTTGCAAGCGTACAATTTAGAAAATTAAATTAATTTCCCATTGAAATGGTTGCACACAGTTTGTGTGTTCGAAATGGGTAATCTAATAAGCAAAAATTGATTGCTTCCTTTGCATGCATTGCAACATCACTCTTATTTTATTGAGAGAAAAAAAAAACACTATGTATAAAACCCATAATTGCAAACGTGACAATTTTCAAGTTGGTGCAGCACACGCAACAGTGCAAAAAAATATACAAACGCATCTCTCATCTTCGGGCTAGCGCGCTTCCCGCATTGCACAAAAGAGAGAGATTGAACGGGCGAGCAGGAGAGAGATTGAGCAAGGGAGAAGGGGAGAGATCGGGCAAGCGAAAAAATTGAAGAGAGATAGAGATAGAAGGAGACAGAGAGCAATGGAGATAGATAAAAAGAGAGCAAAAATATAGTGAAAGAGAGCGCATAGAAATAGAGAACGTCATCGCGAGAATAAATGAATGCGACACAATCATTAAGTACTTAACATCCACACCGCGCATTCAAAATGTGTGTTATTAAAGATAAGTGTGCATCGTTTTGCTGCAAATTAACATATATGAATCCGAAATCCCCGTATACCATTCTGATGCATCTATTCATCGTGCTAAGTACGCAATATATGTGAAATGTATGGTTTTTGTGCATGGCTTGATAATCGTAATGCGTTTTCTCCGCATAGAAAAGGTGTCGATTATATTTCTTGTTTTCTCTCTCTTCCGTTCTCTCCCTGAAGAAAAATAAGCGTACTGAGAGAGTATCTGAAAAAAAGTGAGCGAACGCCATCGTTGATTCGGAAATTATCTACTTCAGGAGGTAAAATTGCATAATTGCATCTCGGTGGTTGCATTGATTTTTTTTTGTTTTCGCTCAGCGTCAGCCCAGCTGGCTAAACAAAAAAAGAAAAAACCAGAATTCTATCGGTTCGTCGTTAAATAAACGCCATGCAAACGAGTGAGACCACCACGTGTGGTGTGGCATAAAATGAGAATGGCGTCGATTTGAAAATCGGCATTTAGCACGGCATTAGCATGTTCATCAATCGCCTCTCCATAAATCAATATACGATCACGCAAAGCCAAACTGAGCGCAAAGTCAAACGAAAAATATTATATATCCATAATTCGAGTTTGGCGGCGGCAGCAGCAGCAAAAGCAAACAACTGAAAATCGACATCATCGCACGATGTGTTTGCTTGCAAACACCCAACAAAAAGCACGAAGCCTTGTTCAAAGTACACACACACATACACACTCTAATCGAAATTAATCACTAAATATATATTAGCCATCGGTCTGATTAGCCTTTTTATTGAAGTGTCCCACACTCATAAATGCATAAACATGTGCTTTGCTCATATTATATTTGCGTCGCGCTCATAGCCACTACAAAATTTATGAATGAACATTTATTACACGATTGAATTTTCGATGTTTCAACCCCGACAGTAATTAGGAGCCGACAATGGAAATTTTTCGTTTCGAAAAAAAAGTTAGTAGTGAAACTTGATTTATTTGAGTGCAGTTGATCAATCGGCCGACAAATAGCCGCGCACTTAACCGGAATGATTTACTGAACGCATTCAATCGTTCATCGTACAAAATCGAATAAACAAAACCAAAAAAAAAAACTATTCGACAAACACTCGACTCGATTTGCGATAATGTTATCGCTAACACGAGCAATCTCTTTTCCCGTTCTTGTTGTCTTAATTACATGAGATTTCAGCGGCGTTCTTTCATTTTTATTATTTTTTTTTTTTTATTCCAAATCTATGTATATAAATAAATAAAATGCTAATTTGAAAGGCCGTTTTCGTATAGTTTTTGTTTTGAGTAATCGTAAGATGATGACGATAGGATAAGGCGAAACGTGCCCGACTGGAAAAACAAATAAATAGTGACGATGATTTAAGTTGAGAGTTTTTAAAATGCAATAAAATCTGAACGCGAGAGAATCGTAATCGGGGTCATTTCAAACCATTTCAGTTGGATGCGGCCGGGTTATCAATCGAAATAGAGATATTTTCTGTATTTTCCAACAATCCAAAACGATCAAGTGTTAAAGTGTCAGCCAAAGCGATCGTTTTTTTTATTACTTTGTACGAAGAAAAAAAAACACCAACGATTTCAAACGAAATGAAATTCTCCGGCAAAGAGATAGTAAATTGCTATTTGGAATCGTTGAAATGCACATTTTGAAACATAAATCAAAATGAAAACTGTATTGGCTTGGAATTTGATGGAATTTACTGTAGTAAATTACAAAAAAAAAAAAATGGAACGGAAATGAGAGGATCCAACGGAGATTGAGAAAAACGCTGGAAAAAACTAGAAAATCGAATGAGGAATGGATGAAAAATGGAAAAGAACCCGCAAATATCGAAGTAAAATGGCAATTGGAGGAAATTAACATTTAGTAGAAAATTGAAAATTAGACGAAATGAGTTGAAATAGGGAAAATGATCAAATCAAGAATCGAAGAATTGAATTAGAATACGGGAAAATTGA